AAAAACCAGTGAAGCCCTAACCGGTTTGGCTCAATGGATAGAGCGTTGGCCTGTGGACTCAAGGGTCCCAGGTTTGATCCCGGTCAAGGGCATGTACCTTGGTTGCGGGCACATCCCCAGTTAGGGAGTGTGCAGGAGGCAGCTGATCGATGTTTCTCTCTCATCGATGTTTCTAATTCTCTATCCCTCTCCCTTCCTCTCTGTAAAAAAAAAAAATCAATAAAATATATTTAAAAAAACACACCAGTGAAACCATGAGAGACGAGGTCATTCAGACGACCTTTTCTGCTGAGAACAATGAGAAAAGGTAGAAAAGTATGCTTAAAGTTCTGCTTGAAGTGACGGGGAATGAGCAGGTGACAAAGAATAATGAGGCCAAGATGCAGGAGGAGAGAGGAATCTGGAGGGGAGAGCCTGGCGCCTGGGAACGTGCTTCCCAAGAACACCTGCCATTTCTGGAAGCGCAGGCTGGGAGGCTGAGAGGGTGCACAGCACGGGGATGGCCTGGGGAGCTGGGAAACTACAGGGGGAGCCCCACTCCTCAAGTAAGAGGAAAAGCGAACCCCATGCAGGCCGGTTCTCACAGGTACAATCCCTGGAACTGGACCACAGTGACAACAGATTGCCGGTGCTCCAGAGTCTGCCAGAAATAAGCACATGCAGAGGCTCCCTGAAGGAAGACAGCATCACCCAGGCCCTCAAGTTATTTCTGTGGGTTTTCATCTATGATGTCTTACACTCAGTCCACAACAACCAGGTCTATGAGGATATAAGACGGTATGAATGGACTCCACGTGACACAACAGGCAACAGACACGGACCTACAAAGGCTAAAAATAAAGGTGTTATCAGACACCAAATTGAAAAAAAAAAACACCTATTCTTAATATGTTCAAGAGTTAAAAAGAGTAAGAAGTTTCTCAGAATACCAGAAACAAAACAGAACAAAAAGAACACATAGAAACTCTGAAACTTTAAAATAACTGAAATTAAGAATCGGTGGGCTTAACAATAGCTTAAACACAGCTTGAAGAGAAAATTAGTCAACTAAATGATAGGCCCAAAGAAAATATCTAGCTTGAAAATCAGAGACAAAAGGGTAGAAAATAATGATGAGAAGGTAAGAGATACAGGGGATACAAAAAAAGAGGGTCTAATAGATATGCAATTAGAATTACAGGAGAGGAGGGAGAGAATTGGGCAGAAGAAATCACAGCCAAGAACTTTTCAAAACTGAAGAAGGACATCAAGCACAGATCCAAGATCTTGAATGGATGAACGCCACTCAGGATAACTAAAAAGAAAAGGGTACGTAGGCACAGTAAACGGCTGTGCCCCAAAGACAAAGTGAAAATCTTCAAAGCAGCCAGAGGGGGAAAAAAAAAGACAGATTATCCTCATCAAAGCGGTAACAATAAAATTGACAGTTAATTTCTCAACAAAAACACTGAAAGCCAAGAGACGCTGGAGTGTTGTCAAAGTGCTGAAAGAAAACATCCAACTGTTTAAAAAACAAAATACACCAATTTTAAACAAACTCTTAAGAAAGAAATAACACCAGCCGTCCACACATTCTTCCAGAGAACAAAAACCATGGCCCTTCCCAATCCATTTCATGAGACTAACCAAGCATAGCAAACACACTACCGAAGAGTAAAACCTCGGCGACCGTTGTCATGAGCATAGATATAAAAATCCCGAGTAGATGATTCAGGAAATGAATCCAGCAATATATAAAAAGGAGAGTGCAATACATCTCAAGCAAATGGACTTGATGGAATGCAACTCATCATATTTACAGAAGAGAGAGGAAAACATGAAGAGCTTCAGAAAAAACAACTTGATGATATTCCACATCCTTTTACGATAAAAATGCCTTGCAAACCAGGACTAGAGAGGGATCTTCTGAATCAGGTAAATGCTTTTGATGAAGACCCAGTGCACTCATCAGACTTGACGATGAAATGTTG